TTTCTCTCTCACGCACTCTTTTCTTCACTGTTCCTACAGCCCACGCGCAGGCGTGCGCGCTCGCACGTCGATTTGCGTGAGGTATTCACCGCAGGAGAGAACGAAGAGGATTTGTTCTCGGAAAGCATTGAGTCTCGCAGGAAACTGCGAGAATTCTTCGCTCTGAGAAATCAATGACGATATTGGGATTTTATTTGTGTTATTATTTGATCCGAAAGTTTTTGCTACGCTCTTGACGTTTTTCTGGTCACGCAATAATTCTTTGGGATAATTATCCGATCGGCTTTTTTTAATGTATTTTTTTGCTTCCGAATGGAAGTTTTGTAATCGTTCGAATTCAAATCTTGGATATTTTGTGGTATATCGACAGAGTATGATCCAAAAAGTCCGAAAATGCAATTTTTAGACCTCGTAGAACGTTTTTCTTCAATTGTTCGCTAGTGAATGGATGGAATTGAATCTTTTTTTCCTCAAATATAGGTGTTGTGGAGCCCTATCAATCGCCATTCATTAAATTGAACTCATCGATTGGTTATTTTCATTTTCAATTCTTTTCGAAAATCAGTTGTCCCACGATATTAAAAAAAATGTTCTGACTTGACTGAATTATGGCTTGCTAAATTTCTTGAATGTTCTTTTGACCGGGTTCGAAGATGAAGGCGATGGCAATAATTTTTACTTTGATTTATTTGAAAATTTGCAAAAATTTTCTTTATTTAAAAACAGAATTCCGGGGATATCTTTGAATATCATGCTTCAAATTAATTCAATCACAGCTTAAAATATTTATTTTAATGCCGTTAAATCAAAGTCAAACGATGATTGCGATAGCTATATTAGTTGATTAGATTTTTATGATTGTTGAAAATTTCGAATTCGTCATTAATTTCCCTGAAAGTGAGCGTTCTGATTGCTTCTTCAAATGTGATGTTTCAAATTCATTCAAGTATGTGTAAATACAATTTTTCTATTAATATTTTATCGAAGGGCTGAGGAGAGAGAGAGAACTGTAAAAAAGATAATCGGTTGTACAGATGAAAGGGATAATAAGAATAATGATGATGATAACATTCAACTGAGTAGAAAATCTGGTAAAATTAGTTACAAATAAATCTTATTCAAGCTAATAAAATGAAATGAACAGTGAATTATACACGATAGAAGGAAACGATGTGCAAAATAACCATTCGGAAGCATATTGCAAATTTATTAGCAAAAATAACTATACTATATGCAATACAAAACCAATTTCCCACTTGTTTGATTGAAAACGCCAGAAACTCAAATATACGGTGGAAACACTGGTAAAAATTTTTGGATGTAATTTTCCGTATAGTTTTTGGAAATTTTCATCAAGCGACAGTTTTACCAAAATTTTAAGGAAATTTGGCATTTTAAATTCCGTATTCGATGAACAAATCAACGGAACCTGTAAACGTCAATTCAATAATTTCATAAAAATTAATAAAAATGCGGAAAATTCAACTAAATATATTCTCGAATCCTTGATTAACTGAAAATCGCCCTCAATTTGGTACTGACTATTCATGTTTCTATTGAAACTTCAAGTAAATAAGAAATTCTCATTTGTCTTCTACTCGAATTTTGAAATTTCATTGAGTTTTGAATGTTGAACTTCCATAATTCCCCGTACCCCGCTCTTCTGAAAATTACTAAATCATCCATTAAATGTAATTTTGCTCTAGCCGTACAGATATTTATTGAAAACTGCCTTCAATATTCAATCGACATAAACCATTTGACTATTTTATTACTGAATGCATAAAACTGCATTCTCATGTCTATGTCCATGTCGTGGAAGCCTATTCTAAGTAATACTTTTCTTCAAGTGAGTTCGCTGGGTCCGGTTGAAGAGCGCAAACTCAAATATTGGTCGAATTATGAAATCCATCATTTTCCAGATTGTTATTGTGCTTTTATTATTATGATTATTTATTAATGCTTGTAGGATACAGAGCTCCATCGCAGAGGGGAAGAGATGAGATACATCTTCATAAAAAAACCGTAGCGATATAGATCAATTGATACTCACTGAGAGAAAAATCTAAAGTTCGATTTACAATAAGAAAATAGTTGAGGCATTTTGGTGAACGATACGATTTTTTTTTGTATGCGGCACATAACATTATAGTAACTTCACAAGCGTAATTTTTGCAAATCAAAATGCAGTTAAACTAACCAAAGTTCAAAAGTAACCCCGATAAATCTATCGTGAGGAGCACTATAAAATAGTTGCAATGACTACATTCCATTGTAGTAATTACTTCTCCGGCCATAGTTACCGTAACCCATGAAAAATTGTTGAGGACTTTTTGACTATAATTCGATGGTGATGGAATATAGTCAGAAGAATTATATTTTTCTCTCAGTACTTTACAAAATATATGGTGGGAAACAGTGATGAACAGCAAATTGCAGAGAAAAAATCAAACATAAGCTTTTATCATTCGCAGAAACTAATGGATTTTTGAGTAGATCGAAAAGATGCATGTTCTTGATCGATTTTACGTCTAATTGACAATACAGCTTAGAATGAATTTATAGACACCTTTGTTTTCACCAAAATTGGCTTTAAATATTGCCTGCGCGGAAAAAAAATATATGTCCAAATATATTTTCCATATATTTCAACCATATGACATATAAAAGCGGCAAGAAAAGCTGCACGCGGAATATATGGCAAATATATTTTCGGATTATAAAAAAGTACTATTTCAGATATATATCTGTTATAATTTCGAAATATTTTATATATACGAGACATATATTTTAAAATGTATGTTATTTATATATGAAATATAAGTGCGATACATCAAGCATGAATTTGCGAAAATTTGACAAATATGGGAGGGTGGGGCAAAACGGCCCTCCCTTCAATTGTCAATAACTTGTGAATGACATTGTGAAAATTCCCAGTTTCGACTTCATTTTGAAGATAATTTTTCATTCTTCAAAACGAGCTCTAACTCATCCCAACCGGATTATTGAATCGCAAAATATTGACGATTGAACGGGGGCCGTTTTGCCCCATCCTCCCCTATAAATTAGGAAAATATGTAGAATATACATCCATTTATCGTTATCGTCCGTACGGAACATGAACAATTACATTTTATGAAAATTAAATAAATGGTTTAGCTGCTCACTCGAAATCATAAGAATATTCCATGAATTGCAACTTGAAGGAGCGACTGATTCGCATGTAGAAAGAACTGTCTGAAAGTATATCCCATTTAACGCATCTCAAAATGTTTCCAACTACAAAGCCCGATGAATATTCGATATGAAATTGATGTGGTTTTCTTCCATAAATAAATAACAAAATAATCATATATTTCTGAGTTCTTCTCGCAATTTTTGGAATACTTTTTTCATTTTGATTTTATTTTTGTGGACAGTAATTCACAAGGCTGAGTGCATTCTTCAATTACAGACTTTCGCCAGAACTTCTCAGGATCAGGACAGCCACAGAGGACTTCCGCCTATCTGACGTCTACCGCGGAAAAACGACAAATCTCCTGACACCTGACAATACTGATCAAAGTGTTCAAAAAACCATTGAAAAAAATAGCAATCAATTTTTTTCCTGACTGTGAATGCACCACATACTGCGGTTCGAATTCAACTGCAGACATTTTTTTTCTTTAATATTCATTTACTTTGGTTGTTTTCATGAAATATTGTCATTCCAAGTAACGCCGATGCCGAAAAAATAATTATCAGCAACAAATTAATTATTTAGACAATATTTACAAACATTTTTGGAAATATATACTTTGGATGATCTCCACTGGAACCGAAAAATATCTCTCCAGGATGTCCCCGGGATATATTAAAAATAGTGTGTAGTAAATTTTTTTATTCTATCGAATGTTCCTGGAACATAAAAATTTAAATTTTGCTATCCAGTAATCCATCAATAACCTCTCAAAACTGAAACAATCTGCCCCGACCGATCCCAGTTCTTAATCAAAATCAACCGATTACAGTGATGACCGAATCATGGAAACGCGGAGGCACACACGGAAGGAAAAAAAAGTCACAAGGATATCCGCGAAAAAAAGGGGGAATTGGTCCGAGTGGTAGGGGTGTTCGTACCCCCTCAAGATGAAAGAACCTCATTCTCCCCATGCCGGAGATCCACTCCCCCCTCCCCATTGCCCTGTACCTCATCTCTCTCTATTCCTCGCCAATCAGCTAAGACAACTCCTAAGGATGGGAAACGGTTATGGGTCCGAAAGAGTTAATGGAGTGGCGGAGGGAAGGGGGGGGGGTCTCTGTAGGCTTCGAGTCAAGTCCAGTCCTCCTACCCGATCACCCAAGGTATTTAAGGTACCGGGAACACTCGGCTCTGGAGTAGTTCACTTCTGTTTGGTGCGGCGGTGTGAATTAAATCTCGCGAAACACGCGCACCATCGGTACAACAAGTGAAGTTCAAATAGTTTAAAAATAATCGATCAACTTTTGTAGTTGTTCAACTTGACGACCATTTTTGGAAAATTAATTTTTTCTGAAAAAAAATCATCTCCCGTGGATTAAATAAATAAAAGGTGAATATTGAATGATAAATTGGATAGGTCTTCGCTACTTACCTCCGGTGCTACAGTAATAATAAAAAAAAAATTACCCCACCAGATAAAGGTTGTCCCCCACCTTATTCCAAGCAGTTCCCTGACACTCTATCCCCCGCGGTGGTTCGCCCTTCTTCAAGTTCAGCCTCCCCCGCGCGCGCATCACGCGCTCTCACGAAACCCGGCACATCTCCACGCCGAACGTTTATTCGACTCGCGCGCGCCTAACAAGCCTCACTCGATCGCCGGCTTCCGTACCGACGACACTGAGGAACTGAAAATCATTTTTTAGAAGTTTTTCATAGTATTTAATATTTAATGGTCGAGCACTTTTTGTAAGACCCGAGAAGAGTTGATTTAATTAATTTTTTTTTACAACGAGTAATTCAATTTTTTCTCTTTTGTCGGTGGAAGAAGACAAGTGGTCAAGGATTTTTTTTACCCGGAGTTTTTTTTCACGGGGGTCATTTCGGAGGGATCGAGGAAGATCGCAAGAATTAATTGGACACGAGGAGAACTGAATTGCTCCGGGTAAGTTGATTGAGAAAATTTGAAAGAATTTGTTTTTTTTTACTGATAAAACGTGAGATAAAGTGGACCTGTGATGCTGTGATAATCAGTGATGTAGCCGTATTAAAGTGGAGATACTTCATATTTCTTATGTTTTTTTAGGATTGTAGTTGCGATTATAGTGACGACAAATTGTGAAAATCGGGGAGGAATGATTTTTGATGATCGATGGCTTCGGATGATGTAGAAAGTGCATTCGGTCGTAATCAAATTGTAATCAACGCAATCATTTCAGTATTAATTTCCAAAATTTTTTGCTCTTCATCGGCTGGAATAGTTCACTTTTGTAATGTCTGCGCAAGGATCCTCCTTTCGCGTAAAATAGCCATGTTACATTTATCATTGCATCGGTTGAAGGAAAAATGCACGAGTCGTCGTGTTAAGATTCAAAAAAAAAAAATGAGCGAGGAGATGTGGACGATCGAGGGAAGCCGGGTTTCGCCGTTGGATCTCAAACATTTAGGGTTATTGAAAATGAAAGGGGACGGAATACGTAGTGTGGCGCAGACGGAAGAAGAAAGAAATGTAAATTTTGGGAATCTAGAGATACATACCGACGCTTTTGTCTGCTACCGGGGCCGAAGGTTCAGTGTTCCTCGAAAAAAAATGAATTTTTTATCCGAGCGAAGTATTTCCAATAATCGAGGCAAAAATCGATGAATCGGTTTTTAAGGATTATTTTGAGTTGATTAAACAAAACCGTAGATAATTCCGTCTGATAGTTTTGAAAAATTTGATAGTCGATAAATATACGAGGGAATGAAAATTGCATTTTAGGAAAGTATAATCACGGTCGAAATGGTAAACGGGAATCATTTCGAATTTTCCATCAATTTTTTTTATGAATGTCTGTGAAGTGTCGGAGTAAGAATGAATGATTTTGCGCGTGAGACAAGTAATCCCAATGACTTCACATAATTATCGACAGATAATCAAATTCGGGTACGAGGAAACCATTAACTTCATTATTGTAACTAGTGGTTGTGCAAAAATGAATTAACGAACTACAGTCCAGTGAAATCGCAATACAGACACGCAGAAAAATGGTTTATTTGAATTAAATAAACTTTATTTAATTCAAATAAATCATCTGTCTCGGTCTACCGACGCTTTTGTCTGCTACTGGGGCCGAAGGTTCCGCGTTCTTAGGGAGAAAATGAAATTCTTACTCAAGTGAAGTATTTTCAATAATCGAACGAAAAATCTATGAATTGTTTTTTATGGATTATTTTGATTTTATGACACAAAATTTGAGTGCTTGAATCATTTATCGGTGACAATTGTGTGTATTAATGCAAGAGATTCAAGATCTTGTGGAACTTGCGAAGAATTGATAATCGATCAATATGCGAGAAAAAAAAATGTCATTTTATGGAACAATAATCACGGTCAAAATGTTAGTAAAACAGAACAATCATTTCTAACTCTCGACCTATTTTCTTACGAATGACTGCGGAGTGTCGGAGAAAGAATGAATGATTGTGCGCGTGAGACAGGTAATCCCGATGACTCCGAGTAATTGTCGACAGACCAGCTAATCCGGGTATGAGGAAAATATTAACTTCATTATTGTAACCAGTGCAAATGGAAAAATCACTCCTCTGATCCTGATGTGGTAGAAATAAAAGACATTAACGGACTATAGTCCATTGAAATCACAATACACGGCCTCAAGGTTCCGCGTTCCTAGAAAGAAAACGGAATTTCAACTCAAATGAAGTATTTTCAATAATCGAACGAAAAATCTATGAATTATTGTTTATGGATTATTTTGAGTTTATGAAACAAAGTTTGAGTGTTCGAGTCATTTATCGGTGACAATGCTGCTTAATAACGCAAGAGATTCAAGATCTTGTGGAACTTTCGAAAAATCGATAATCGATGAATATGAGGAAAAAAAATTTCATTTTATGAAACTATAATCATGGTCAAAATAATAAAAAGGAAGAATCATTTCTAACTCTCGGCCAATTTTCTTATGAATGACTGTGAAGTGTCGGAGAACGGCTAAATGATTTCGTGACACAAGTAATCCTAATGACTCTGAGTAATTATCGACAGACCAGTCGATCCGGATATCAAGAAAATATTAACTTTATCATTGTAACCAGTGCAAATGGAAAAATCACTCCTCTGATCCTGATGTGGTAGAAAAAAGACATTAACGGACTATAGTCCATTGAAATCACAATACACGGCCTCAAGGTTCCGCGTTCCTAGAAAGAAAACGGAATTTCAACTCAAATGAAGTATTTTCAATAATCGAACGAAAAATCTATGAATTATTGTTTATGGATTATTTTGAGTTTATGAAACAAAGTTTGAGTGTTCGAGTCATTTATCGGTGACAATGCTGCTTAATAACGCAAGAGATTCAAGATCTTGTGGAACTTTCGAAAAATCGATAATCGATGAATATGAGGAAAAAAAATTTCATTTTATGAAACTATAATCATGGTCAAAATAATAAAAAGGAAGAATCATTTCTAACTCTCGGCCAATTTTCTTATGAATGACTGTGAAGTGTCGGAGAACGGCTAAATGATTTCGTGACACAAGTAATCCTAATGACTCTGAGTAATTATCGACAGACCAGTCGATCCGGATATCAAGAAAATATTAACTTTATCATTGTAACCAGTGCAAATGGAAAAATCACTCCTCTGATCCTGATGTGGTAGAAATAAGACATTAACGGACTATAGTCCATTGAAATCACAATACACGGCCTCAAGGTTCCGCGTTCCTAGAAAGAAAGCGGAATTTCAACTCAAATGAAGTATTTTCAATAATCGAACGAAAAATCTATGAATTATTGTTTATGGATTATTTTGAGTTTATGAAACAAAGTTTGAGTGTTCGAGTCATTTATCGGTGACAATGCTGCTTAATAACGCAAGAGATTCAAGATCTTGTGGAACTTTCGAAAAATCGATAATCGATGAATATGAGGAAAAAAAATTTCATTTTATGAAACTATAATCATGGTCAAAATAATAAAAAGGAAGAATCATTTCTAACTCTCGGCCAATTTTCTTATGAATAACTGTGAAGTGTCGGAGAACGGCTAAATGATTTCGTGACACAAGTAATCCTAATGACTCTGAGTAATTATCGACAGACCAGTCGATCTGGATATCAAGAAAATATTAACTTTATCATTGTAACCAGTGCAAATGGAAAAATCTCTCCGCTGATCCTGATGTGGTAGAAATAAAAGACATTAACGGACTATAGTCCATTGAAATCACAATACATGGACTCAAGGTTCCGCGTTCCTAGCAAGAAAATGGAATTTTAACTCAAATGAAGTGTTTTCAATAATCGAACGAAAAATCTATGAATTATTTTTTATGGATTCTTTTGAGTTTATGAAACAAAGTTTGAGTGTTTGAGCCATTTATCGGTGACAATGCTGCTTAATAATGCAAGGGATTCAAGATCTCGTGGAACTTTCGAAAAATCGATAATCGATAAATATATAAGGAAAAAAATGTCATTTTATGGAACAATAATCACGGTCAAAATAATAAAAAGGAAGAATCGTTTCTAACTCGCGACCAATTTTCTTCTGAATGACTGTGAAGTGTCGGAGAAAGAATGGATGATTTTGCGCACGAGACAAGTAATCCTAATGACTCTACGTAATTATCGACAGACAATCAACTTTGGATATGAGGAAAACATAAACTTCATTGTTGTAACCGGTGTCCGTGCAAAAATCCCTCCTCCGATCATGACGTGGTCGAAATAAAATGGATTAACGGACTATAGTCCAGTGGAATTGCAAAGTCACGCGATAAAAGGATTTAAAAATAAGAAAATGAAAAAAGAGGATAGAGTTACAATGGGGGGAGAGAATGAGAGATCAGGAGGATGTGAGGTTTAGCTAAGATAGGAAGGACGAAGATATATGGTGGAGGGCTAAGAAATCGCCCGGAGGATCCTAACATAAGGAGGCAATAGCCGTAGAGAATCGGTGAACGTTAGCCACAGGATCGTGAGCATTCGCAAATAAAAAAATTGCAAATGAAAAATCTCCGCAGTGGAACGGCAAAAAATGATGAAAGAAAAATTTGGCATAAATCATTAGAATGATTAACGAAATCGGATGCAGATCGGTTGCCTCCGTTGCAGTGGATACATTTTTTTGCTTTGTAATCGTTGGTTTTGACGATCTTCTAATTTTAGTGAAGATCCAATATTTTTAGAAAATGTGTTTCTGGATGTGTGCGCGAATTCTTCGGAAAATTTTTATAAATCTTCACAGAAAAAAGACTAAAGTTGCAACTAAAAATCCGAAATTTTGTTACACAATTGGCATTACTTTGGAGCATTTCTGAGCGCAATTTCAACTCAATCGATCAAGTAATTTCCGAGATACAGCAATTTCTCAAAAATTTTGTTTCCTCGATATCCAGGGATCCCCATCAATATTAAATTTCCGTAATATTACAAGGATATGGCCCTTACATTATTGAAGGTTTAAAATATGTTGATTCAATTTTTCCAATAATATAAAATTAATAATCTGATTTTTTACGAATAATGAGTATAATAAAATATTACAAATTTGGGTATCCCAGTCAATATCTCGAAAACTACGTGACTGAATTGAGTTTTTTTGACGTCAAAATATTCCTTGTGATAATATCTATCAAATCAAATCACAATATTACTAGGTAACTAGGGACAGTTTGGTAATAATCGGCATTTTTCGTTTTTATGAGAAAATCGTTCTGTGCACGATAACTCTCGAAAAAATTTAGATAGGATGTTGAAATTCGGCGAGATTGTAGCTCTTATGATACTACAAGATGGGATTGTGGGTAGACGAAATCGGACAAGTGGTTTAGAAGATACTCAACTTTTTGTGAAAAACTGTTTTGTTCAATATCCCCGAAACTACTGGTCCGACTAATTTGTTTTTTTTTTTTTCAAAATACTCGTCTTGTCGCCCT